CGCTGTTGATCATACCTAATGAAAACGCTGTCCATAAATTTAGCTGCAGTTAACAACGTTGCCAAGAGTTGCAACAGCAAAAGTAAAAGTATTGGAGGGAGCATTTTTTTTCAGTCAAGACGACAGCGATGAATTCATATCGTTTTATAACGCTCAAATCGTTGACTAATAATAAAAAGCTTATTCTCTTGGGTGACAGAGCCTTTATCAGCAAAAACTGATATTTTCATGTCTGTGAGTTAAATGCTTCACTGAACAAATTGCATGAGTTTCAGTTTAGATGACCGTTTATCATTTCTGATCATGAGGCAGCTGCCTCAAACAATGTATTCAAATCTTAAGATGCCACGGCAGTGTCTGAACTGCGGCAGAAGATAACATGTATTAGTTAACAAATTACATAAAAACGCAAGCCTTTAACGCTCTGAACTGAACCTTGTAACGTGAGGCTTGTATGGTTTGTTTCTGAACATAACTGCTTTGCGATACTTTTTTGTTGGTGCGTGAATGGTATTCTCTGGGCTTCTGATTTTAAAGTGCACCAAAGTAGCCTTCAAATATTGTTTGTTCAACGGATGATGAATGTCTACCAGCAATGTTTTCCCTAACAACATAACAGAGAGACTGACTTTGCGGTCACGAATGTCTGTTAGTCAATTTTGCTGATGCAAGTGATCAGCAAAAGGAAGGAAAGAAAAATTTGCAGTCAGGTTTTCCTTCTAATGCTTTTCTCATTGTCATGAAGTTAATGGTTAGGCGCTGATCTCCATTTCCATTCCATCAGCCATCAGTGCTTTATTTTAGAGGCAAAGTCGACAGTGGGCACGTTCCAAGCATAGTGTATAGTCTGCTATTTTTTTTCTCACAGGTGGTACTCATATATCTGCCTCAGAAGAAAGCAAGACGAGTGATCCGACTAGGGCTCTTACCTCAGACATCTCAAATGAGTCTGACACTCCACCGCCTCAGCATCCCCGGTGCCCCTGGTTAACAGAAGTTTGCATTGAAGGATGGCGTTGTGTCTTTTTGAGAGGCCGGGAAAAACCGCAGGCTTCGGCATAAGTCATCTGGTGCACTCAGTAGTTGAAAACAGCTGTCGATAAGGTACTGATAGACCACGGATAACAGAATTTTATGTGGGATTGAATTTAGATGTTTTCGAACAAATACGCTGCGACTTATAATCTGAGAGGATTATGAACCACTGCATGTTAATATATTATTTGCTCTGAAGAAAAGACGATGCTTGTATGAAAAGAGTGTGATAATAATAATCAGATGTTTTTTATAGTGTTTTGCCATAGGAACGAACAACTTGCAATTGCGGAAAGAATTTTGGCTACGAACGTCTTCTAATCAGCAAATCTAAAAATTTAGACTTGTCCAGTAGGATTTATGGCTTCCATAACATTCCATCTTGAGGGCAGGGCAGCGAACAATGCTCATATCTCACCCATGTTATCGACCGGTACTCGTTCCAGTGATTTCATGACAGAATTTATCACCGCTGGATGTTTGGTTACTCCTATCTGAAAACCACGTGACTGTTGCTGGTAAGTAACCAATTGACTTGTTGCTGGGTTCCTGTCTGCAGCAAGTCTGCTGACCAAAACGGCCATGAGGAACAATCCTCACAAAGAACATCGATTCTGTATAAACCGACGATCGTTTGCATATTGTTGCAGCGGGAAAGGCAATTAATTAAATGATCCATAGACGCTGAGGTAGAGCAAAGAGTTGATTAGCCGAATTGCCGTCGGTTTTGACCTTGGTCAAAGGGAGGGAATTCTGTCGCTGAGCGGCGATTTTTCGCTACGTTTAACGACACTGTGTTCGTCTGTTCAGCTGGTTGTTTTCGATGAAAGGAACAATCCGTGATCGAAGCCGACCCGACACCTGATCGGTCGTTCAGTGCCTGTGTGATGGAGCGCAATGCCGGCGATTTTGTCCATTAACATCGGATCAGAGGCGGTGTCACCCTCCTCAAAGGGCGGGGTCCGCGTTGCATGGACGAAACGCAACTGAGAGCTGCGCACACCTGTGGCCGTCGTCGTGCATTGTAACGGATCCTGGTGACCGGCGGATGAGGGTAAGGCGGTTTTGCATACGGTCATGTCCAAGAAAGACGAGGAGAATGGTCGGGGCTTGAGTGGGGCTTCAGCGGACCGGCGAGCGACGGCGAGGACGCAACCGGGAACAAAACCGCCGGCGGTCATTGGTCAAGTGCCGCGTTCGGTCTTCGTCAAACATTTGCACACAGCCGCACCGAACGGCCACTCTGTCGTCGGAGTCGCTCGCCACCTCGCTCCGGGAGGATCAGCACGACTTAGCGCCAATTGCAACGACATTCATCAACGCCAAGGCGCAAATACCAAACTGGAACAGTACACAAGTTGGCCGGTGCCCCGCACTTTACTTTTGTTCTTAATCTCAGTCAAGGTCAATATGTCATTTTCCTTATCCCCTAGCAGCCTAATTTTATGTTCAATAAGCCCCCCCCCCCAACCCGATCAATCCCAAACTAAAGCTACGCTAAAAGTCACTTTCCTCAGCACCAAGTACACTCTTCAATCAGTCAATCTATTTCTCTCGAAATTAACATTCACAAAAGAATATGACTTTGCATCTGGCAAATTACTTCATTGCACTGACATCATTCCACATCTGTTCAGCTACTGACCAGTTTTATTACTCATCCAGCCTTCACGACATCACTTAGATACTGTCGAAGCGTCAGCAGTTAATCGAAGTCCTGTCCTACAGTACTAAAGCTTGCCACGAATTTCATGGGCAAATCACACTTTACTGAACGTTTCTCGTGCAATGCCTCTGATCTCTTTAGATGCTCATTACGTTCTCCCAGTCTGTCATTGGGATCTCCCGTTTAAGATCTGATAATCTGTCATGGTAAATCAATATCATCTATCAGCAGTGGTTCTAAATTTATTTGCTACCAGGGCAGAAATGGAGCTTCAAAGTACTACTGATAACAAAGCCGCTTTCTTGCTGTAGCCCTGCTTACTGAGATAAAATATATGTTCGGTAGTTGTCAGAAATAAGCAGCCTAAAAATCATGAGTGCTCGATGAAAATTCAGGATAACTCAAGTACTAATGGTCTGACATCTCCTTCGCTTGTTTCATCAAACTGTCGTGAAGAACAACAGAAGTTTTGCGAGGTAAGACCTCTCTGTTACAGGAATTTCCGCAGATAGAACTTTTTACAACGATGCATCTTGCAGGCATCAGAATTTCTGAAACGAATTTCATGGGGAAAAAACAAAACTAAATCCTTCTTCAAGCAAAGACCTTTAAAACCAGCTGTACCTTATGAAGAAATTTTGTCCAGGCAATCAAAACATTGTGACTTCGAATTTCAATCGTGCTCAACCACTGTTTTCTTTGTGAGGTAGATAAACAAACAGTCAGCATAAGGTCATGTTTGCTATATGGCAACAAATATGATTGTCAAAGTCAGGCAGCTTCCCGATTGATGGCATCAAGATGCAAATCGGTACGCAACAGCTCCATAAAAGTAAGGTACTCTAACGGCATCCAATTCAGAAGCTTGCCGATGGCCGCGTTTAGGTGGTAATGACTTGTGGCTGTTCTTTCTTGGCATATTCAAACTTCAGTCACATCCGAGTCTCTGTGTCATATAAAGTTAGTTCATTCATCGAAGGTGATGATGAAGATGATGATAATGGCAGAACTGTAAAAATGGAGTAATAAATATGCTTTGTGGGAAAACCCTTCATAAATTGCTTCATATGTTTTCTAATATATTGCTCAATGGATTTTCAGTGCCTCCCCCAGCCATTAATCATCATTTCTATTGCAGGCAACGGTTTAAGAAGAAACCACGAGTTTGTGTGCCTTGTCACCACTAGGCTAGGTCGAAAACTCACGGAATAGGTTGGGAAAGTACTATACGAGATTCGTTAGACGTCGATTGACTTGTTGTTTGTGATAATCCAGTATTTGTATTAATTTATGTATTAGTTTCGTCAAGTAAATTTTTCACCTGCTAATTACATATGCACAATATGTAAACATTGTGGTTAAACTAAACTCCATTCAAAAAATCATAAGCATGCCATTGAGTGGCAGACACAACACCCTATGTATACCTTGTAATATTTTGTAGATCATCATTTTCCGTGGTATAAGGTACCACAGCTAAACCTAAATCAACTGAGTGTTCTCCTGGAGCAGTAGATGGGTTTTCGTGATAAGACTTATATCACTATATTAAAAGACTTCTCATGAGCTTACGGTAGATGTGTCTACTAGAACGATACACTCTGTACAAGCCAGGAAAGAAGGTTTCGGGAATAACAGTCGCATGTATCTATGCAGCGCGTCTCATGAAACTTTTTCTTGCCGTCTATCTAATTTACAGCGTCCATTTGTCATGCTTTCGCTTTCCCCTAACAATTCATTGGTTGTCTTTCTAGGCATTAAAATTTGTTCAGCGCACATCATTAATATGTACTCAATTTTCATACAAATGCTTAGCTTGTCGATGCGGTGAAGTTTGAAATGGAATGAACCTTAGAGGTGACTCTTAAATTCTGATTTCAGTTCAACTTTTGTTTTTCGCCTCGTTGCTGTATTTTATTATTATTTTAGTATGTTGTTCGTTGACACATGACTAGAGATGCACCTTATTTTCATATATTAATCACACAGTTCGTTACTATGATCTTTTCGGAGAAGGGCTGACAATTGGCACCCCCCCCCCAAATTTTCAGCATCTATTTGGATGCTTGGCCTGTTTAGATTTATGACCATAGATTAGCACTGATAATAACAATACTTTACTGATACTTCTTCGTTATTAACGGGGATAACCATTGCCTTGTCTCGATGACTACGTTCGCTTTTCTTGTGCGATTTGTCTTTATCTTAGCTCACTGTCTAAAATTAGCCTAGGTCTATACATTCGCACTGGCCATCGGACATCTTTCAATCGTGCGATATAATCTGTAGTAGTCTTACTCGAGCTCACACAAGGAATGTGGGGGCCATTTTTTGTGTGTTTTCCATTTCATGCGGTCTTCGCAAATGGCTGTGGACAATGTCCACGGACTGCCAAACGTCTTGAACAGAACGTCTATTCGCCCTCCACCATGCTCTAATGGAGTCATAGGTGACGACTCTGTGAGACTTGGCCTATTCAGAGTTTTTCAAGCTGAGTTTTGACACAACCATCTCCTCTATACTGGTTTCTCCTCTGCACCACTAACCGGTGCCTAATCTCGCAAATAAAAAAAGTGATGTAATACCTTCAAATTGCCACTGATTTATTTGCTGGTCTTTCACACGCATATGGACGTTGGATTTCAAGGGGTTTCCGCAGCGGTTAAGATTACCACATTTTATGATCATTCGATTTGTCGTTTGTTCTGTTATTCTTACCACTGTTTGTTCTCCATGTGGACAGGGCGACGATTGAATTTTGAATGAAATATTCCAGGGACATGTATTAAAACAATCGTCTCTAATGTTTGAACTCTTGACTTGTTTAGCTTGCATTGATTCATTTTCAAAGGTTGTGCTGAAACGGTGTTAAAACTGTCCTTTCGTTAGATCTAGTTGATGGTATCTATATCTAAAGAGAGGTGGAAAACGCCTTGAATGCGTCAGCATGCCGTTTTGCCTCTAAGAAGTGCATTCAATAGAGTACATGGCAGTTTTACATTTCCTATAGCTCGGCACAGGACCCACGGTGAACAAGTGTCCATCGGAATGATATGCGAGCGGCACATTTCTAGAAAATTGCACAACAGGGTAGCCGGTGGCTACTTACAAAGGCTTCTTGCACAATATTGTCATACGTGGCAAATATCAATATTGCATCCGGTGCATTAAGTCATGGTCAACCGCGTGGGAACATGTACCTGTGAAGCTATTCTAATTTCTAGAAAATTTTGAATGGAGGTGACGGCGAGGTAGCATCAGTCACAGAAAAAGTGGATTTTTCGTTTTTTGGCAAAGCGGTAGTCATATCAACAGTTTTACAGTAATAACGGTAGTAAAATTCTGTCACGGACAGTGTGTCGTATGTAGGCTTAACTTTCAAAGAATGGAAAAGCATTGTGATCAATCAGTAATATGCATAGTTGTTGCTACTTGTAGCTGGCCTATGAACATCACGGTTCCATTCAGAAAAAATCACAATGACACAGTTGTTAAAAAAACTGGCTGTTTAGCTCATATGCACACAACCCTAACACCTTCTAAAGGGTTGATCGATAGTGTTCAGGTGATACAATTGGTAATTGAGCTTTCTTCAGCTGCAAGTATTTGGGTTTGATTGTTATCACTAGCCAATTAGCCTGACCACTGCCAAATTCTGATTTTACAAAATGAATGAGTTGCAACGATTGAGGCTGACAGGAAACATGGCGCATAGGAAATAAATTATGATTGATTGTTTAAAAGGTTTAAATTTGCAGTTGTCTATGTCTTCACAACGCTCTGCAATTGGCCGCAGTTTTCATGCATGCTTAGGTAATACGATGTTTGCACTTTTTGGCTCTGCATGTTTCCCGTGTGCGTCGTAGCGAAGCGTTCTTCCGTGCCACTTGAGCCATACTTCATAAATAACTTTTTGCACGTCTGAAAATTTCAGGCTTATCATGTGTACAGTTTCATTTTCCACCGTAATCTACGTCCTTCTAGAAATTCTTAGAAGGCAAACAACGCAGCATAGGCCATCGAGGTGGGCGATGCGATTAGAGATGTAACAACAGCTTTTCCAGAAACTTTTTGGCAGTTTGAGACCAGTCACAAAAATACAAAATCTCCCGTGGTGAAAAACACTAGCCAACACCATCAGATGCTAAACCAATCTATGAAGGTCTTACTCCTTCAAGACAAGATCTGGCGATGTAATGCACGGCCCCCTTGCTCAGAATTGCCTAGGCGGCTATTTCAGTAGGCCACAGCTCCGTGGTATTTGAGCACCTGCAGTGCCAGATGTGCTTATCGTTATTTTATTTATTACATAGCTATTTCATGTTCATTATGAATGATGTTTCTGGAGCAAATACTTTATCTATTCTACTACGCATACATTAAAATATGCTCATGTCATTTTGTAATAAAATACTGACAATACCACTTTGAAATAGTTATATAATTGCTTCCGTTTATCAACCAGAGATGTTATCTCTTCCGTGTAGGTTTGCATATGGGATATCCTTGCCCTCG